TATATATATATATATATATATATATATATATATATATACACACTCGCACATGTATATATATACATAATGTATGTATATGCATTATCATAAACTCAAGCACACATGTATAAGTACATATATACACGCGCGTATGCGCACACACATATACATACACAATACTATGGCAATGGTCCACTGGTGAAAGCACTGACCGCCGATCATCGTGGGCCCGGGTTCAAATCCCTGGCTCAGCAGACTAAATGCCTTCGCACCGCCTGTTTGCTCAAGGCAGACCGCAGGGCCAAGAAACGAGATACCTTGAGCGGTCAAACGCAGGCGTCGAGGGTGAATTCGCTGCCGTGGCTCACGTGTTGGTGTTAGGCCGTAATTGACCATGAAGGGTATCCAATTTGGGAGCTTCAATTAAGATTTGAGAGAGGTCTATGCAATTCATAATATGAACGTTCATATACATTATGTATCCCCCCCCAAAAAAAAAAAAAAAAAAAAAGGTTAAACGCAGGTGGCGCAGGTGAATTTCCCGCCGTGACTCACATGTTAGTGTTAGACCGCAATTGACGATGAAGGGTATCCAACAATGCGCCCCCAGTAACGATTTTAAATAAGTCTGTGTCATGCAGTGTCAAAATATTAATGTATATATATCATTTATCAGGTTCCAAAAAAGGATTAAGAGATACTGGAGGGGGAGGGGATATACCCCTTTCTATTAATTCATTTTCTCTCCCTCTCCCCCTTCTCTCTTTCCATATCTCTATCTGTCATTAAGATACCTTGCCCCTTGCTCTATCTGAAACATGAAAAAGTTAATATCTCTCAAATACCGAAACGCATATTGCCAAGCATTTCGAATAATTAGCAAGTAAAACACAACTATTCCTCCTCCAACTAATACACATTCTGATTATCTTAAGAGAACATAAGTAATCTGGAAATGTCTTCTTTCCTTGCCCGTGCATGGAAACCGTAATTTATGCATTATAGAAAGGAAAGACCTTGCCTCGACCAATATGTAGAGTGGAGGAGGAGCATCAGTAACTGATATAGAATATATACAGTGTATGGCCTGAACTGGACACAAGTCATCGTCTATCAACATGACGCTCCTGGTGTTTATTACTTCTACAGTACGATGTAATATGGAAACAAGAGACATTTTGTAGTAATAGTACATTTCGATGGTTCAAGAGTAATAACTGAAATATAATTTCGTTTTTTATAGGTCCTAGTATTCGTGACTGCCGTTTCTGCTGCCCCACTCGGCTATGACCTACAACCACCCTCTCGCCCATATTTTCATCATGGTTTCTGCGCTCACGGCTTAGTGCCACACGTGGATGGTAGTTGTGTTACTCCTCAAGTGTATCAACGGGCATTTATCTACGATGCTCCAAGAAGGGTAAACTATTTTAGGCGGCCACACTACATTCCGCAACCTAAAGTGGAACGCAATGTGGTTTTCGTGAGGCTGCCTGAAGATGACCAGGGACCTGATCCGATTATCGTACCTCCTCCACAACAGCAACAGGTCGTGTACGTACTTAACAAGCAAACGGAGGAGGACCAGCGAGTGATCGAAGTGCCAGCACCGCCGCCGACGGAGCCCGAAGTGGTGTTCGTGAACTATGAAGAAGGTGAGAACCCGATCCTTCCCACCGGGGAAGACCTCCACTCGGCACTGACTACGGCCTCTCATGGCGTGGGTCATGTTGTAGAAAGTACAGGAATCGGAGGTGGAATCACTGGTTTCGGTAATGGAATTGGACACTCCACTGGGCACAGTTTCGCACACAGTGCTGGTCGTGCCTTCGAAGATACTTTTGGCATCGGTATCAGAAACCACAATCTTCCTGCAGATGATTACTCTACTCATACAAGCCATCATTCTACCCATGCAAACCACCATTCTACTCACGCAAGTCATTTTTCTACCCCAGTTAGTCACTATACTACTCCTAGAAGCCAGTACTCGACCCCTGCAATCCACTATACTACTCCCAGAAGCCATTACTCAACCCCTACAAGTTCTTATACAACGCCTTCTAGTCTCTACACCAGTCCATAGAGATGGTTCTTTCAATAGATGATATGGACTACTGCGATAAGCATATGTAGAATTCTACATATGTACACTGATATGCGTTAGAATTATAGATTTTACATTCACATACTGTACAAAAATGTGTCTCGATGCAATTAATTAAAGAATGTATAAGTTTTCATTCTGTATTTCAGTAATTTTCCTCTATCCTATCTATGCACTGAAACAACAGCATGCATAATTTATATTTGCCATGCTGCATAGAAAATTACTCGTTTTATATAGATTTATATATATGAAAGTAATCCTGATAGTGATAATGCCTCTCGATATGTTAAAAGTAACTTCTGGTTCATATTTCACCGTATGGGATGAGTTATTAAGCCATACAAGACGGCATTTTCACTCAAAAATAAATGCACAGTTTTTAACTCGAAATCTTTTCAAACCCTTGGTTGTGGGATATTTGACTTTTCTCATCGTGCGGGAAACATCCGGGATGTCAGACTAATTATTTGAAAAAAGGTATTTTGAGTGAATTTCGAATATGTGAGGAAATTTCGAAACCAGGATCACAAGTTTGAGAATACCTTTTATTTGAATACGCCTGCGCCCTGTGCACTGTATAAGATCTCATTCTTTTCATCATTATTACTTTTTGATAAAACAAGAATGCGGAGTTAGAAAACAGGAACAGAAGGAACGCACTGCCGCCATATCTAGCAGAAATCGAGAGGACAGAATTTAAAAGGGAAAGGTACGGTGTATCCGGCACTTTCTTGGATGGCAAAAGTACGAATATTACTCTTAAGAAATGCACTTTAGTTAGTAGATAAAAAACACACCCACACCCACCCACATAGACATATATATCCACACATAAATATGTACACACACACACACACACACACACACACACACACACACACACACACACACACACACACACACACACACACATACATACACATACACACACACACACACACACACACATATATATATATATATATATATGTGTGTGTGTGTGTGTGTGTGTGTGTGTGTGTGTGTGTGTGTGTGTGTGTGTATGTATATGGAATTATGCATATCTATGTAAATATGAATGTATATATGTAAAGTATATATATATATATATATATATATATATATATATATATATATATATATATATATATATATATATAAACATGCATACATACATGTATATACACGCACACACAGTTATATGAATATATACATGAACACACACACAAGCACATACACATCTGAATATATATATATATATATATATATATATATATATATATATATATATATATATATATATATATATATATACACACACACACGGATATATTTGTATATATATAGATATATAAATATACACTCGCACATGCATATATACACATAATATATGTATATGCATTATCATACACACAAGCACACATGTATAAGTACATATATATACACGTGCGTATGCGCACACATATACATACACAATACTATGGCAATGGTCCACTGGTGAAAGCACTGACCGCCGGCCATCGTGGGCCCGGGTTCAAATCCCTGGCACAGCAGATTAAATGCCTTCGCACCGCCTGTTTGCTCAAGCCAGACCGCAGGGCAAAGAAACGAGATATCACCTTGAGCGGTCAAACGCAGGCGTCGAGGGTGAATTCGCTGCTGTGGCTCACGTGTTGGTGTTAGGCCACAATTGACCATGAAGGGTATCCAATTAGGGAGCTTCAATTAAGATTTGAGAGAGGTCTTTGCAATTCATAATATGAATGTTCATATACATTATGTATCCCCCCCAAAAAAAAAGGTTAAACGCAGGTGGCGCAGGTGAATTTCCCGTTGTGACTCACGTGTTACTGTTAGACCGCAATTGCCGATGAAGGGTATCCAACAATGCGCCCCCAATTATGATTTTAAATAAGTCTGTGTCATGCAATGTCAGAATATTAATGTATATATATCATTTATCAGGTTCCAAAAAAAGAATTAAGAGATACGAGAGGGGGGGGGGGGTATATACCCCTTTTTATCTATTCATTCTCTCTACCTTTCCCCCTTCTCTCTTTCCATATCTCTATCTGTCATTAAGATACCTTGCCCCTTGCTCTATCTGAAGCATAAAAATGGTTAATATCTCTCAAATACCGAAACGCATATTCCAAGCATTTCATATAATGAACAAGTAAAACACAACTTTTCCTCTTCCAGCTAATACACATTCTGATTATCTTAAGAGAATGGCCAACATAAATAATCTGGAAATGTCTTTTTTCCTTGCCCGTGCATGGAAACAGTAATTTATGCATTATAGAAAGGAAAGACCTTGCCTCGACCAATATGTAGAGTGGAGGAGGAGCATCAGTAACTGATATAGAATATATACAGTGTATGGCCTGTACTGGACACAAGTCATCGTCTGTCAACATGAAGCTCCTGGTGTTTATTACTTCTATAGTACCATGTAGTATGCAAATGTTTTACAGTAATAGTACATTGCGATGGTCCTTGAGTAATAACTGAAAAATGATTTCGTTTTTTATAGGTCCTAGTATTCGTGGCTGCCGTGTCTGCTGCCCCACTCGGCTATGACCTACAACCACCCTCTGGTCCATATTTTCATCATGGTTTCTGCGCTCACGGATTAGTGCCACACGTGGATGGTAGTTGTGTTACTCCTCATGTATATCAACGGGCATTTATCTACGACGCTCCAAGAAGGGTAAACTATTTTAGGCGGCCACACTACATTCCGCAACCTAAAGTGGAACGCAATGTGGTTTTCGTGAGGCTGCCTGAAGATGACCAGGGACCTGATCCGATCATCGTACCTCCTCCACAGCAGCAACAGGTCGTGTACGTCCTCAACAAGCAAACGGAGGAGGACCAGCGAGTGATCGAAGTGGCAGGCCGCCGACGGAGCCCGAAGTGGTGTTCGTGAACTATGAAGAAGGTGAGAACCCGATTCTTCCCACCGGGGAAGACCTCCACTCGGCACTGACTACGGCCTCTCATGGCGTGGGTCATGTTGTAGAAAGTACAGGAATCGGAGGTGGAATCACTGGTTTCGGTAATGGAATTGGACACTCCACTGGGCACAGTTTCGCACACAGTGCTGGTCGTGCCTTCGAAGATACTTTTGGCATCGGTATCAGAAACCACAATCTTCCTGCAGATGATTACTCTACTCATACAAGCCATCACTCAACCCATGCAAACCACCATTCTACTCACACGAGTCATTTTTCTACTCCAGTTAGTCACTATACAACTCCCAGAAGCCAGTACTCGACGCCTGCAATCCACTATACTACTCCCAGAAGCCATTACTCAACCCCTACAAGCCATTACACAACGCCTTCTAGTCTCTACACCAGTCCATAGAGATGGTTCTTTCAGTAGATGATATGGACTATGACGATAAGTCTATATAGAATTCTGCACATGTACACTGACATGCGTTAGAATTATAGATTTTACATTCACATACTGTACAAAAATGTGTATCGATGCAATTAACTAAAGAAAGTATAAGTTTTCATTCTGTATTTCAGTAATTTTCCTCTATCCTATCCATGCACTGAAACAACAGCATGCATAATTTATATTTGCCATGCTGTATAAAAGATTACTCTTTCTATATAGATTTATATATGTGAAAGTAATCCTGATAGTGATAATGCCTCTCGGTATGTTAGAAGTACCTTCTGGTTCATATTTCACTGTATGGGATAAGTTATTAAGCCATAGAAGACGGCATTTCCACTCAAAAATAATTGAACAGTATATAAGTTAAAATCTTTTCACACCCCTGATTGTGGGATATTTGACTTTTCTCATCTTGCGGGAAACAACTGGGATGTCATTATTTGTAAAAAAAAAAAAAAAAAAAAAAAAAAAAAAAAAAAAAAAAAAAAAAAAAAAAAAAAAAGGTTTTCTTTTGAATTAATTTCGAATAAGTGAGGAAATTTCGAAAGTAGGATCACAAGTTTGAGAATACATTATATTTGAATACGCTTGCACCCTGGGAACTGTAAATGATCTCATTCTTTTCATCATTATTACTTTCTGATAAAACAAAAATGTGGAGTTTGGTAACAGGAACAGAAGGAACGCACTGCCGCCATATCTAGCAGAAATCGAGAGGACAGAATTTAAAAGGGAAAGGTACGGTGTATCCGGCACTTTCTTGGATGGCAAAAGTACGAATATTACTCTTAAGAAATGTACTTTAGTTAGTAGATAAAAAGCACACCCACACCCACCCACATAGAGACATATATCCACACATAAATATGTAAATACAACAAAACACACACACACACACACACACACACACACACACACACACACACACACATATAATATATATATATATATATATATATATAATATATATATATATATATATATATAATATATATATATATATATATATAATAACGTGTGTGGTGTGTGTGTGTGTGTGTGTGTGTTGTGTGTGTGTGTGTGTGTGTGTGTGTGTGTGTGTGTGTGTGTGTGTGTGTGTATATGTAATTATGCTTATCTATGTAAATATAAATATATATATATACATGTATACATATATGTATGAAGTGGTGTTCGTGAACTATGAAGAAGGTGAGAACCCGATTCTTCCCACCGGGGAAGACCTCCACTCGGCACTGACTACGGCCTCTCATGGCGTGGGTCATGTTGTAGAAAGTACAGGAATCGGAGGTGGAATCACTGGTTTCGGTAATGGAATTGGACACTCCACTGGACACAGTTTCGCACACAGTGCTGGTCGTGCCTTCGGAGGTGATTTTGGCATCGATGTCAGAAACCACAATCTTCCTGCAGATGATTACTCTACTCATACAAGCCATCCCTCTACCCATGCAAACCACCATTCTACTCATTTTCCTACCCCAATAAGTCATTATACTACTCCCAGAAGCCAGTACTCGACCCTTGCAACCCATGATACTATTCCCAGTAGCCAATACTCAACCCCTACAAGTCATTACACAACTCCTTCTAGTCTCTATACCACTCCATAGAGATAGTTCTTTTAGTAGATGATATGGACTACAATGGCAAGATTTTACAGAATTTTATATATGTACACTGATACACGTAATACATTTTACATTCATATACTATGCGAAAACATATATTGGCGCTTATACCGAATGAAATAAAGATTCACTTTACTTTCTTTTCTCTATTTTTGCTATTTTCCTCTAATTCATGCATATTCTCAGTATGCCTTCTATTTACACAACCTCACATGCGAAAATTAATTTTGGTAAAGATCATGCTCGTAATAGGGATAATAATTCCATGCATCATATTTAAAATATTTACTGATGCAGATATCACCGTATCAGAGTCATTAGTTAATAGAAAACTGCCGTTTTAGCAAGGCTTTACTCAAACACAGAATGCACAGTATATTA